AATATATATACTTGATCAGCATAAAATTCTATGTCGATTTATCAATGTCCCTCCGTTTATCCGTCTGTGGAAATCACTATAGCTTCCGAACGAAATGAAGTAAGTTGATAAAAATTTGTGTATTATGTCTGCAGGACTTTTGGTATTGAAAATGGGCCATGCAAGACCGCGTCTTCGTATAGCCCCCATATAATGGTACCTCCCGATATTCGGTATTTTGATGATTTTAGCGACATTATTTAACGGAATTGTTTCAAATTTGGTATTTGAAGTTCGTGATAGATACTACAGCATTAGACAGAAAATGGGTCATGTAGGTCCACGTCTTCGTATAGCCCCCTTATAACGGTACCCCCCGATATTCGGTATTTTCATGATTTTAGAGACATTATTCACCGGAATTGTTTCAAATTTGGTATTTGAAGTTCGTAATAGAAACTACATCAAAAGACAGAAAACGGGCCAGGTAGGTCCACGCCTTCGTATAGCACCTACATAATAATACACCCGATATTCGATATTTTGATGATTTTAGCGACATTAGTTACCGGAATTGCTTCAAATTTTGTATTTGAAGTTCGTAATGGATACTACAGCCTATGCCAGAAAATTGTTTGTGCAGGTCCACATTTTATAACGCCCATGGTATCTCCCTATATTCGGTATTTTGATTATTTTAGCTACATTATAAACTGATTTTTTTCAAGTTTCGCATTTGAATATTATGATAGCTTATGACAAAAGTTGCCTATGCACGTCCACGTCGTCGTATAGACGCTAATGTACGGCTACATTCGGTATTTTTAAGATTTTAACAAAACTTTTAACGGATTTTATTTTTTTGAAAATTGCCAAATTTGTACCAAATGGTGGAGGGTATTCAAAGTTCGGCCGAACTTACAGCCTTTTTACTTGTTTTTTTTTTTTCATTTGTCATATGAAGCTCTACTACCCTTGTGAAAATTTTCATGAGGATCGGACGATAATTGCCATCTGTATATAATATCCCCAACCTGTGTTGTAATGTGAAAAAATATTACAAAACAAACACTTCAATATTATTAGTCAAATTGAAACCAGTAAGGAAAGCTCAAAAGTCGGGCGGGGCCGACTATATGATACCCTACACCACTATGCATATTTAGTAGAGCTCTCGTAAAAAGGTTTATACAGGGCATTTCAGAGCTCTATGAGATATTTGGTACCAAATCAAAATCTATCTAATTCTATCGTGCATTTTACGAACTATAGCTATATCTGAACCGATTTTCACCAAGTTTGATGTATTTGATTCTAGGCTGAATTCGGTCAGATTTGCCAAAACCCAGGACATTTGGGCTGATATTGGACATTTGGTGCGCAATCAACACGAAATTGGATGAATATATATATAGGAGGTATATCCAAATCTGAACCGATATTTGTAAAACGGAAAAAGAAGATATTTCTTGGCTGCATCTGATACCAAATATTATTCTTGTATCGTACATTTTTCGAATTTGAGGGACTTAAAGTACAAATCGGATGAAAGGTATATATAGGAGCTATAGCTGTATCCGACCGATTTTCACTAAATTTGATGTACCAATATTAGCCATTTGCTGCACATTTAATCCGAAATCGGATGAAGATATATTTGGGAGCTATAGCTATATCTGAAACGACTTTTACTAAAATTGGTGTCCTTGCTTCTAGGCTGAATTTGGCCAGATATGCCAAAATTCATGCCATTTCGGTTGATATTGGCCATTTGTTGCACAATTAACTCGAAATCGAATGAAGATACACATGGGTGCTATATCCAAATCTGAACAGATTTTGAGAAAATTAAAAGCGACTACTTTTGGGCTTTATCTGATATCTGGTACCAAATATCATTCCTGTGAAGAGTATGCTATGCTATACTATATCCAAATCTGAACAGATTTTTATAAAATCAAAATCGACTATTTTTGGGCTTTATCTGATATCTGGTACCAAATATCATTCCTGTGAAGAGTATATTACGAATGTAAGGGACTTAAAGAGCAAATCGGATGAAACATATATACGGAGCTAGATCTATATCTGAACCGATTTTTACTAAAATGTGTGTACTTGCTTATATTCTGGTTTCGGTCGGATTTGCCAAAATTCATGCCATTTGGGCTGATATTGGCCATTTGATGCACAATTAACACGAAATCGGATGAAGATATATATGGGAGGCATATCCAAATCGGAACAGATTTTAATAAAATTAAAATCAACTATTTTTGGGCTTTATCTGATAACTGGTACCAAATATCATTTCTGTGGAGTGCATATTACGAATGTGAGGGATTTAAAGACGAAATCGGATGAAACATATATATGGGAGCTATAGCTATATCTGAACCGATTTTTACTAAAATTGGTGTACTTGCTTCTATGCTGGTTTCGGTCGGATTTGCCAAAATTGATGCTATTACGGCCATTTGGTGGTCAATAACCCGAAATCGGATGAAGATATATATGGGAGCTATATCCAAATCTGAACCGATTTCGATAAAATTTAAAACAGCTATTCCTGTGCTCCATCTAATACCTGGTACCAAATATCACGGTTGTGGAGTGAACATTACGAATGTAAGGGACTAAAACACTAAATCGGATGAAACATATATATGGTTGCTATATCTGTATTTGAACCGATTTTCACTAAATTTGATATACTTGCTTCTAGGCTGAATTTGGTCCGATGTACTAAAATTCAGTTTATTTGGACTTATATCGGCCATTTGATGCACAATTAACCCGAAATCGGATGAAGATATATATGGGAGCTATATCCAAATCTGAACCGATTTTCTCCAAATTTGTTGTATTTACTTTAAGGCTAATCTCGGTCACATGTGCCAAAATTCGGGCCATTTGGGCTGATATTGCCCATTTGGTGGTCAATTAACCCGAAATCGGATGAAGATATATATGGGAGCTATATCCAAATCTGAACCGATTTCGATAAAATTTAAAACAGCTATTTCTGTGCTCCACCTAATACCTGGTACCAAATATCACGGTTGTGGAGTGCATAGTAGGAATGTGAGGGACTTAAAGATCAAATCGGATGAAAGATATATATGGGAGCTATAGCTATATCTGAACCGATTTTCTCCAAATTTGATATACTTGCTTCTAGGCCGAACCCGGTTGGGTGTGCCAAAATTCAGGTAATTTGGACTGATAGTGGACATTTGGTGCTCATTTAACCCGAAATCGGATGAAGATATATATGGGAGCTATATCTAAATTTGATCCGATTCTCACCAATTTCAATAGGGTTCGTCCTTGGGCCAAAAAAATATTGTTTGGAAAATTTCATCTCAATCGGATAATAAATGCGACCTGCATTTTGTTCACAAGAATACATGGACAGACGGACGGACGGACGGACAGACGGACGGACATGCATAAATCGACTCAGAAAGTGATTCTATGAAGGTTCTCAAAAGTAACTATGGGTCTATCTCGTTTCCTTCTCCATGTTACAAACAAATGCACAAAGACATAATACCCTTACCACTATGTGGTGTAGGGTATAAAAATCGCAAGTGATAAAAAATATGGAAAAATAAAAAATTGTCACAAAATACAAGAAAATCTATATTAACATTATGCGATTTTTTCAGATTTTATTCTTTTTTGCCAAGATGTCATTATTGACATCTTTTTATGCGATTTTTTCAGATTTTATTCTTTTTTGCCAAGAGGGCAAAATTGACAAAATTTGTCAAAATCGTTCTAGCTAACATCCCCTTCCTTTGTATATATACATTGTTTATGTTTCGCTATATATATCCGATATATTTACTATCGGCATATACGTAACGGTCAGGATTGACCTGTTTGCCTATTTGTGATTTTGCCGGGATTAAAAATATTCGAGGTTTAATGGAAAATTTACACAAATGGTCTTGTTTACCCACTAAATATTACTCTATGATCATCAAAATTGGAAGACTTCTGCCTAGCCCTAAGCTAGCCCCATGCTAACTTCCGCGTCGATTGATCTATAATTGCGAAATGTAGAGCAACTGCAAAACCATGAAATTTTTCAGTTTTTGGTCCATTTCGACCCTAAATATTATGCTCATCTCCAAAAGAAATAGGGTTCTACTCTGGTTCTAGCCCCACCTTCATTCTAAATTTCATAAAGATCGGACCATAACTGCGACCTGTAGAGTGATTACAAATTAACATTGACAGACGGATGGATGGGCATACATAGAAGAGTTTGTCCTTGAGAGTTATTTTGAGTTAATAAATAATATATATTTTGAAGGTATATCCAAATCTGAACCGATTTCTATATAATGTGGCAAGTTTATTTTGGTACCAAAAGTCCGTTACACATTCAAATGTCATTGAAATTGGAGATACATAGCTTGTTTTGGTCCATCAAATATACAAAATCGGCCGAAAATATATATGGGAGTTATATCCAAATCTGCTCAAATTTTAATATAATTTGTACCGAATTCCGAAAACCGATCGATATATATGGCCATAGAAAAACTATTTTTTGGGAAATCCTACTACAGATCAAATAATGTAGTATGTAAAAAATATTGTTTACCATTTACCCTAGATTTTGTACACGATTCTAAAAAAAGTGATCGCAATATAAAGTATTAACTATAAATGGCACGAACATTAATAGCATTTATATAATTAAATAGACCATTTACTCCAAACAAGACATTTACGTACTACTAAAACTCTCCTACACATTTTTTTTTTACTGTCCGCATCTTTATCTTTTCTCAATAGAATAATATTATTTTTTAATTTTCAACAGAAGCGTGTGAATGAAAAAATATTTTTACTCCAAGGATATTTATTTCATTTTTTTTTTTTAGAATAGCCATTATTGTTTTTCTTGCCGTTTTCTTCGTTTCCATTCACATGACCTTTTGTGCTAATTTCAATTGTATTTTATGCATTTATTTTACCTATTCCGTTTTGTGTTTTCTTTGCAGGGTTCAAAATCTAGATTCAATTGTACGTGTCGCAGACCGTGATCTGCCGGTGGTGAATACAAGAGGTGATGTCCTCTTTAATTCGTGGAAGGGCATATTTAATGGCCAGGGAGGTTTCTTTTCGCAAGCGCCACGTATCTACAGTTTTAGCGGCAAAAACGTTCTGACAGATCCCTTATGGTAAGTTTCTTTTTAATTACAATGTTAAATATTGTTTTGTCATTTAAATAGATATTTGGTTTTTATTGTATTATATTTGAAAATATTTGGTGATAACAAAAAATACAAAATAATAAGAAATTTATAATTAAAACGTATTAAAGGTAATAATAAGTTCGAAATGCTTTGGCCTTTAAAATGTCTAGAATGGATATTTTTAAAAAGAAAATGTGTGAAGTATTGAACAAAAATAAACCACATGAAACGTTTGCAGCCAAAAGTTTCCATATTCAATACAATGTAAGAAATCATTTTCAACTGTAATTCAAATACCATTCGAAATTCAAATAATCTGCTTTAATAGAAGAGGATTTTAGTTGAAAATCAAATTTCTCACTTTAAATTAAGAATGTGGCAATTGAAATTCAGAATTTCTATTTAAAATTCAGAACGCGACAATTTTCATTCACTTAACAACAAATGATTATCTTCAGATTGTTAATGTTTATGTTGCACTGTCTTACAATAAGTCAAAACAAAAATAAATTAAAAGGTACCAGTCGGTTTTGTCGACAGATGTATACCCTCAGCCAATGTTCGAGTATTTAAATAAATTTTTTACTTCTGGTACGTTTATTCAAATTGTTAATTCTCTATGCAGTAGGTTCCGAAGGAATGGGCGAGTATTGTCCATTTGGTATCGGACCAGAAAACTCAGATGAATATGGAAATTATGATTTTGCAAAAAATTGGATATAAATGCTCCACAAGGTGAGATGAAACCAGTAAAGAAAGTCCTAAAGTCGGGCGGAGCCGATTTTATGATACCCTACACCACTTTGCTAATTTAGTTGAGCTCCACATAACAATTAAAAGTTTTTATGGGAGAATTCAATCATACACTCTAGGATTATAATTATAATTTAAAGTTCAAAGGACTAAATATGCCGAAGCATTTTTATCTTTTAAATTCGGACTTGTATTGACCATTTGGTGCAAAATTAATTTGAAATCAGATAAAGATATATGTGGGAGCTATATCCAAATCTGAACCGATCTCGATAAAATTTGGCAAATATATATATCGGCTGTATTTGATATATTTCCCTGAATATCGTTGTTACGGAGTGCATAATACGGCTGTGGGTAACAAATACAACAAATCGGATGAACAATATATATGGGAGCTATAGCTATATCTGAACCGATCTTCACCAAATTTGGCATACTACCTTCTAGACTCAGTTCGGTCGTATGTGCCAAATTCCATCCCATATTAGACGTTTGGTGCACAATAAAAGGTAAATCGGACGAAGTTATATATGGGAGCTATATCCAAATCTGAACCGATCTCGATAAAATTTAGCAAATGTGTTTCTGAACTGCATTTGATATATTTCCCTAAATATTGTTGTTACAGAGTGCATATTACGGCTGCGGAGGACAAAAATAACAAATCGGATGAACAATATATATGGGAGCTATAGCTATATCTGAACCGATTTCCATCAAATTTGGCATGCTTATTTTTAGGCCTAATTTGGTTGCATGTGCAAAATTCCATACTATTCGGGGTGATATTACACGTTTGATGAACAATAAAAGGCAAATCGGACGAAGATATATATGGGAGCTATATCTAATTTTTTACCGATTATCTCCAATTTCAATAGGGTTCGTACTTGGGCCAAACAAATGTTGTTTGGAAAATTTCATCTCAATCGGATAATAAATGTGACCTGCATTTTGTTCACAAAAATACATGGACAGACGGACGGACGGACGGTCGGACAGACGGACTGACATGCATAAATCAACTCAGAAAGTGATTCTATGCAGATCATCAAAAGGAACTATGGGTCTATCTCGTTTCCGTGGCATCAGAATAAGTGACGAATATTGTCGCGAAAATATTCTGGAGGGTGTATTAAAGCCTTGGGCACGCAAACATTTTGGCCGCAGATTATTAAAATAATCGAACATTGGCTGAGGGTCAACATTTGTCGGCAAAACCGATTGATACTTTTTATCCTGTTTTTGAAAAGTTCGACCTTTTGTGGGGGAGGTACCAAAAAGTGTGGACCGAAATTGTCCATCTCCGACTCGATCTAAGTTTGATAATAACATTATTCAATAACATGGTCCAACAGCAAGTTTGGACCAAATCGGATACTCCCTTCGAGACGAATGGACATCGCTAGATCGACTCGAAAAGTCGTGAAACGGATTTGGTTCAAAGAGACCGTTATTTCGATGAGGCACGTTTTGGTCGTATCAAATGATATATACCCTCTCTAGCGATATGGCTGAGGGTATAAAAATTCTATTTGTATAACGTCCGACAAGTATTTTTTTAATTCGTCCAACATGGACCGATAGGGTTATGACCCCTGTTTGCTCATTTTCATAAAAAGATTGTCAATTACGTGTCTGGGTCAAAATTCTCACCAAACAGGTACTCAATTTGTCTGCGTGTACCCTAAATGTTTTCTTAACATGATTTTTAAAATAATGTCGAAATATTTTCGACCGTTGTTCATGTGTATACGCAACCATATTCTTTCAGCAGAAGGACAAATCTAAATATCTTACAAATCAAATATGAACTAGATGTTGCCACTCACCAAATGAGCACCAGTTGAAAACAATTTAGATTGCGGACCCGTGATTTTAGTCAATCCTGCATTATCTCTATACAAAATTAACCAAAATACCTTAATTCAGGTTTCTTTGTTGTGTTTCGTTTGTATAAATTCGTTTCTTTGATACTTTCATTGGCCTGCTCAAATTTAAGTGGCCATCAATTTTTCTGACATTAAAGATAAAATGGTACTGGTATTGCTGTAGCACTGTTAGTTCGTTCCCTTACCCATGCCACTTCAGGCTACTGGCGCATACAACCTAGTTTCAGCGGGGCATCATCCATATACAATGGGCATGTACCACCCAACCACTCACCCATGAATACCTCTACTTTTGTCGAACTGAAAACGTTATCAGGTTTAGCTTAAGGTTAAATACTTTTGAGATATAAATGTTTTTGTGTAATAATTCTTTTTATTAGATTAACAATTAGCGATATTGAAATACTTCGTCTCCTTGTTCGCACAATTGTGGGGTGTATTTGTAAATAAGCTTTTCGGTCGAAGTTCTTACTCATCTGTAACATAAACAAACATATGGATGTAAGGGTCCATTGAAATGACCCATTATAGCCAATGTGCTTTGATTTATATGCCAGTTTAATTGAAACGTTCAATTCGGTTATCGCCCATTTATTTTATTTGTTCTCATTATGGGTCAGAATGATGTGGCTTCGTTTTTTTTGTTATCTATAAAGTCGTGTTACGTCTTCACATATATAAATCGTCGATAATTAATGTTAAATAGCGTGATGTGATTTTGTCTTTTTTGAAAGGAATGATTACATGAAGCAATACGGAAAGGACAACCTTATCCCACCACTATGTTTATTTAACAGTTTTACCCGCAAAAAAATTAAGTTAAATTGGGAATTTCTGAAGGCTTTCTAAAAGGCAGAATAATGAAAAAAACCTCCAAAACATAATTTTATAGGGCTGATGTTAAAGACAAAAATATCATACAATTTGACTGAAAATCAAAAACGAAAATAAATCTGTATTTACATTACATATCAAGGGAAATATATATTCCATTTTGTTTTTGGTCTTTTAAAGGGGACTTGACCCTCCACCATAGTATCGAGGGTATATTAAGTTTGTCATTCCGTTTGTAACATCTCGAAATAAACATTTTAGAAACTACAAAGTATATATACTCTTGATCAGCATAAAATTCTAGTTCGATTTTGCAATGTCCGCCCGTCTGTGGAAACCAATCTAGTTTCCAAACAAAATGAAATAGATTGATAAAATTTTTCTCAGATGTGTTTGTTCTGCAGGACTATGGTACTGAAAATGGGCTATATAGTTTCAAGTTTTGGTATGGCCCCCATATTGCTGTACCGAAAAAATTTTCACAGATCAGTCATTTGCCTGCAGGCAGGTCAAGTTCGAAGGTGGGCTATAACGGTTCAAGATATCGTATAGCCTCCATACAACTGTACCTCCCGATATTCGGCAATTTTATGATTTTAGCCACATTTTTCAATAAAATTGTCTGAAAATTAGAACAAGGAGTTCCTTATAAGTACTTTACCCCCAGCAGGATAATTGTCTATGTTGGTCCACCATATCGTATAGCATCCATACAAAGGTACCTCCCTATATTCGTTATTTTGATGATTTTAGTGACTTTAATCACCGGAATTGTTTCAAATTTCGTATCTTAAGTTCAAAATGGGTGCTACAGCGTGTGACAGAAAAGTGCATACATAGGTCTAGGTCTTTGTATAGACCCCATATAACGGTACCTCCCCATATTCCGTATTTTCATGATTTTAGCGACTTTAATCTCCGGAATTGTTTCAAATTCCGCATTTGAAGTTCCTAATAGGTACTACAATCTATGGTAAAAAAATACTTATGCAGGTCCACTTCTTCGTCTAGCCACAATATAACGCTACCTCCATATATTCGGTATAGTGATGATTTTCAAGGCATTTTCCACCGGAATCGTTTCAAATCTCGCATTTGAAGGTATTGATGGGTACTTCAGCATAATAACTGTTTTCAATTCATTCGAAAGATAGCGTGATTACAACAGACCGACGAACATCGCTATACCGACTTAGAATTTGGGTCTTTTTGGTTCTGACATAAATATTTCGAGGAGTTACAAACGGAATGACAAACTTAATATACCCTTCGAACTGTTAAAACCCTCCACCATTAGGTAACAAAAATTTTAAAAATAAAAGTAATGAAGTTGAACACACAAACATTTTGGCCGAAGACCTTGGAAATTCCAACAGGCACTCAGCACGCGCCACTCAAGAATGGTTACTAAATGAGGTTCCTCGCTTCATTTTCAGCGCACAATGGCCACCAAAATTTCCGGATACCAAACCGTTGGACTACTGCGTCTGGGTTATTTTGGAAAGCAAGGTTGGCACTAATAAATATCAAAGTGTTGCTCACCTCATGCAGGCACTTCACCGGGAATGGACCAAAATACCGCAGAGCAACATTCGGGTAGCCTGTGACGGTTTCATTGGCCGTTTGAAGGCCATAATTCGTGCCGAAGGTGACCAATTCCAATAAATCAAATTTATTCCCGACATTTTTTGCTTTCATGCAATAAATTAAAAATTATGGCGTTTGACTTCGTTGTATTTTTTTTTTATCTCACCCTGTATATGGACAAGGGTTTGATAAAGGAGAACCCACTACGAGCTTTAAATATCAATATTGAAAGATTTCGCTTAGAAAATGTGGCTTTAATTTAAAACCAGTAAAGAAAGTCCTAAAGTCGGGCGGGGCCGATTTTATGATACCCTACACCACTTTGCTAATTTAGTTGAGCTCCACTTAATAATTAAGTGTTTTTATGGGTTATAATTATGATTATAATTATAATTTAAAATTCAAAGGACTAAATATGCCGAAGCATTTGTATCTTTTAAATTCGGACTTGTATTGGTGCGAAATTAATTTGAAATCGGATAAAAATATATATGGGAACTATATCCAAATCTGAACCGATCTCGATAAAATTTAGCAAAGGTATTTCTGAGCTGCATTTGATATATTTCCCCAAATATTGTTGTTACAGAGTGCATATTACGGCTGCGGAGGACAAAAATAACAAATCGGATGAACAATATATATGGAAGCTATAGCTATATCTGAACCGATTTTGATAAAATTTGGCATACTTATTTTGAGGCCTAATTTGGTTGTATGTGCAAAATTCCATACTATTCGGGCTGATATTACATGTTTGGTGCACAATAAAAGGCAAATCGGACGAAGATATAAATTTTTTTTTACCGATTATCTCCAATTTCAATAGGATTCGTCCTTGAGCCAAACAAATGTTGTTTGCAAAATTTCATCTCAATCGGATAATAAGTGCGACCTGCATTTTGTTCACAAGAATACATGGACAGACGGACGGACGGACAGACTGACATGCATAAATCAACTCAGAAAGTGATTCTATGCAGATCATCAAAAGGAACTATGGGTCTATCTCGTTTCCTGTTACAAACAAATGCACAAAGACCTAATACCCTGACCACCTTGTGGTGTAGGGTATAAAAATGGGAGCTACATGAAATCGTTGAAATATATATACAATGATCCGCCACATGAGGAATGGCAAGGTTAATAAACTCTCCATAGGCGGAGGGTATAAAAAATGTTTATAAGTTTGATATATTGAAACATTAAACTATAGAGAGCTTGTAATAATGGTCTTTTGAAATTTTAATTATTTTCAAAAATGCTTCAACAAAAACATCATTATTTAATGGTAATGCTTTGCAATTGCACCTTTTCTTTAATTCCACGATAAATCACATTATACAAATAGAAAACAAGGATAATAATTGATTGCATTCTTGCTCTTCAAGTAGCAACCGTAAGTTTTAAGTGTTCTTACTAGAAAAAATATCCGTTAGGTTCCATTGAATTCCAATAGTTATTATGTCTACAAAAAGAAAAACACTTGCCAATATTGCCACCCAACAGCTATAGTTAAGCTTATTATATTCATCTTAATAACATATCTTTCTATCATTTGATTGTCATGACTTTTGTTAAATGTAACTATAAAAGCATTTCACATATTCAACTGAATGGAATTCAACGAAGAGGCCTTCGCAAAAACACCAGCAAAAAATGCCAATTACAAACAAAACTCAACTTAACGAGCCTTAAAACAATGGCAGAAAAAACATTTAGCAATTTGCATATGAAAATTTAATAACCGTAACAACACTCAGCAGGATAACAAAAATAAAACGAATGCTTGTTCGTATATCACAAAGGAAATGACATTAAAATGGAATTCTAAACAAGAAGAAGAACAACAACAATAACGAAAAAAGAGCGAATCTTCTTCATACATTTGAATATGGCAAGGCATTTAGTCGGTAGTTTGGAACCTATATGTGTGTGGAGACAGGCAAACGGACGGACGGACGCAGACAAATAGCAAATGACATGTACACCATAAACACGTACACAAACTTAATACGAATGATAGAACACATGAATTCACACAGACACACATACACACTCACATCCATGTGTACGCATTCCTGTATAACGTTTATATCTTCTCACTTTCGCAATTTGTTTGCTCGTACTTCTAGACATTGCTCACTTTTTCAGGATCTTTGTGTGAGTTTTGGCATTTTTATTTTAGCCAGTTATGTTTGTTGTTGTTGTTGTTTTTCTGTTGTATTTGTGCCAGTTGATGACTTCTTGTCTTTTACATTCAATTGCATTTAATTATGCAAATTTTTTAAAATGCCAACACACACACACACACATATACATGTAGCATGCAAGGATGTATGAACACTTATAATAGATGCATTTCATTTCGCCTACAGGGCTGACAAAAATGTGTGTCTTGTTTACACATGACTCGCTCTAAAGACCAACCATCTACCAATGAAGGATATACAAATACCTATATGCGCATTAGAACGCGCATATACTGCATACAGACAGAAAATTTAAAAAGTTACTGACAATCATTACAAGGTGGGGCAGATTGATTAAATTTGAAAAACTATGAACTAAGAATCTTATAACTTCAAATTTACTGAATTTACTGTACTTAGGTGATTTTAATGGAATACTTTGTACATTATTGTATATTGTAGTGTAAATTTCTAGTACTTTTCGGTAGCACAACCATAGACAAATGAAAATATAAACGGATGTGAGATGTCGTTTATTTTGTTTCAGTGGTGTGAGTGAAAATATCGAAGTCACTCAATTCTAAAATTTTAAAAATATCATGAACTGTAGGGTTTTTGTCAGTTGAAAATTGTTCCATATAATAAGATGATTCAAAATTTGCTATGCCATCAAAAAATAGGGAATAATCAAGTGAAATTCGAACCCAACAAACCAAAACGCTTTAAAATAAGTTTGTAACAAACTTACTATCATAAGTCTTAAGCTTAGAAAACTGTTATGATTACTGTTATGAAAGGCAATTTAATAATTATAGAATAATGAAAATTGAACCCTTGTGATAATATTACTAGTCAATAGTATGAAACAAGCTAGTAACTTTAATCTTAGAATAAGCTTGTTATTACTATTATGAAAGGCTTGTAAACAATTGCTGAATAAATCAAATTGAACCCTTGCTTTAATATTGCTGGTTTATAGTTTGCAACAAGCATAGAAGTCTAATTATTAACTATGCTTGAAGAAAAATAGTTTTCTTATCATATATAAATTAAACTTATCTTCGTAATAGTTTTATAAACCTTTTAATTTTATTATTTTTTATAGTTTAATTTTTATTTTGTACATTTTTATCAGGTGTATTATTAATATAAGGTATATTACTAACATAAGAAAAAAATTAATTTTTGTTTTTTGTCTTTGGAGTATATTTTTGTTTTGATTCTTGCCTATTTTTCGCGAACTGGAAAAAAGATTTTGTGCTTTTTATATATTCATCCTCGCTCAATCCAATAGAAATTGCTGCATCTATAATATTTCAAAAGAATTAGAAAAGCAAGTAAATATGTAAATTAAGAACACGTGTAAATTACTTACTTCTTATTGCTTTTGCTGAACTGAGGCTGCGTACACTTTTTTTCTCCTCTGTCCCCTTCCAACACATCTTTTGCGCCAGTTCGTCTACTAGTAGCTTTCGCCAACAGTTTTTTGTAAAATTTGGAGTTTTGGCAACCGTTAACAGCTCCTTTCCCTTAGAAGAAGTTTATTATATTATTAGGTTACGGTTAATTTTCCTTTGCTACTTACAAACATATTCAAAAACTTTTTGTCTTCCTGCAATTTTTTTTCGAAATCCATAAACTCGTCTATATTTTTAAAAGGGCTTTCAGGCATCAACAACTCAACAAGCGATTTCTCCTTCTTCAATTCCTTAACTTCATTACGCAGGACATTTATTTCATGACGTAATGAAGTGACTTCATTAGTAAGCCTAATAAACATGGGTTCAATTGCTTTTGAAAAATGTGCCACCATCCCTGAAAAGAATTAGAAAAAATATCGGCAATTGGTGTCCATTATACCATCGAAATATTTCACCGAATATTTACCTTATAGTGTCACAGGTTGTAGGGGGCCCATATTATTTAATAATGGTTGTAAGGAAGTAAGATTATGCGAGTTGTTGAATATGTTGTTGAAATTTATGTTACTGTCCTCAGTCATAGTGTATAACTGGAAAAAAGCCAAATTCATCATTTTTGTTTCTTAAAGCACAGATTTTAGTAATGTCTTTCAAGCTATGTTGGTAGGATTCTTGTGAAACTGTTAACTTAGTTGTTTGCCAAATATCAAGAAGAGACGATTCCAGTGGATTATGGAACATTGAACTCAAATTCAAAACTTTCTGTCCAATGACTTTACTATCTTGATTGCTTATTGATGACACGCGATATAGATTATTTTGAGCTTTATAATAATTATTAGGGTGGACTACTGAAAAAAATGCACATATTTTGGGTTGTGTATTATCCCTATGTGAGATGTTGATACTTTGCTCCACTAGTCGATTATATAGTTGAGCCGATATATTATTTTTTTTCTTTAAAAGCCTTTTCAACATTCCCAGCTTATTTTCAAATTTAAATGCACTAAAAGTTTCACATGATCCATATTGCAAACAATCGCTGGCTAGGTGAGTGAGACAATGAAAATTGTACGTTGAAATACTTTCGTCATAAAATTTAGGCAAATACTTCAAAAAATTCTTTAATAATGCGTCAGCGCACTTATTCTTTGATCTACATTGTTCAGGGCTTAACAAAATTCTAATAGCTAAACTCAATTGCAGAAAATGAAAATACCGCTCGTCATCCAAAATTCCTTTTAAGATAAACGGACCAACATACAAAAGAAATGTTCGCAATTCAGTTGCTTTATACCGATCAAACTCATTGAGATCTCTTGTACTTCTTCTAAACTCACGAGGAAGTTGTCCTTTTAAACACAAGAGAAGATTGTTTAATATTGTAATTTTGTCCCTTGAAAGGGATGATGTTGTATTTCTCTTTTTTATCCATGAAGTCATTAAAGTTTTGACAACACCCAGGCAAACCACATGCATATAATCCATGGGAAACGATGTTATTAGGTCTATTGGCAAGTCTTCTATGGCCATGTGATTATGTATTTTGTAATGATTTTTATCTAAGCGTTTTCTAAAATTTTCATCAGTGCGTAATGTGTTCTCTTCATATTTGAACACCATGCGGTTGTTTATATGATCACCCTTCTGGTTGCATTTGTGGCAACAACTGTATCCAGTATGAGTTTTTATTCCCAGAACTAGTGACCTTGCCGGCGCATCACATATGAAAGCTCTACAGTTAACTTTATATGTCTTATTATCAAACGAAAAATTGTCCTTCATAAGCTCGGTTAATTCTTTGATAAAGGGACCTAAAAACTCATTAACATCTATTGGCTTACTGTTTCCACTATAAATACCAACTGTATGCACAAAATCAGTGTCATTGACATTAATAAGAACGGGCCAGGCTTGTGCTAATGAACTTTTTGCTACCGGTAATCCATCTATGTTAATATTTAAATCAATAGAAGTCTTTAGATATTTTTTCGTGCATGACAAGAAATCGGTTAGACAATCTTTCAATCCGTAATGTACATAGTTTCCTCCTTGTATTGCAACTATCGGTGCATCGCGCGGTGTTTGTTTTAATGTCCTAGCATCTTTTGGTAAAAAAGGAAAGAATTTTCTTAAAATATTCAGCAAATCATTTGTAGCACTAGTTGTTATTGTGTGTTTGATAGCCCAAGCTGCAATTTCACTCTTTATATCAGCTGAATCTATAAATTCGGCATTGTCGTCCGAACTGGAAAACTCTATTTTATTTAAATTGTCATCACTCGAATAAGAACCACTTTCACTGGCGCCGACTACATCTTCGTTGGAATCGTCTTCTTTACGTTTTTTAGCATTTAACAACAATTCAACAATTTCTTTTGATTCTTTACGAACACTATGTTTTAATTTGTACGGCATATTTAAAATATGACTTAATACGTACCTGTGTCAATTATATAATATAATAATTATTCAATTAAGTTGACTTTTATTTTTACGTTCACTTTTTATTGGGCACTTTTTAATCTTCACTCTTCAAATAAAACTCGGAGAATGAAGTAAATCAGAATATTGCAAAACACTCCTGTTAAAATAACGGGATACAATTTACAAAACATTTGTAAAACTGTTGCAAGCATAAGTCGTTTGCAAACACATTTGCGAAATTGTTGTTCGCACGAAATGTATAACAAATGTTATTGCAAACAGTTACAATGCTACGCGTTTTTAAAACCCTGCTTGGCAAAGACATTTGTAAAATTATAGCGAGCATAAGTCTTTTCCAATCACATTTGCAAAATTAATATTCTGACAAAGTGTATTGCAAGTGTTATTGCAAATATTGTTGCAATGCTAACCGTTTTTGAAGCTCAGTTTGAAAATGTTATTTCGAAAATTCTTATATAAATCTTGCGAACATAAGTCATTTGTAATCGCATTTGCAAATATATTATTCTAGCAAATGTTTTGCAAGTGTTATTGCAAATACAATTACTATTTTAACCGTTTTTAACACACGGTTATAAAAGTATTCATATTTTCTACTTTAACAAACCAATCATAAGTATGCTTATAACAGGTTGTAGAAAATGGCTTATTGTAAGTTTATTTTTGTATTCATTTAAGATGGGTTAATGAAATGGTTTATTGGGAATAGACTGCGTCAATCAGCATGTTGATAATGCTAAAGCCTACTATTCACTAGTCTATGACAAAACTACTTACGAACAAACCAAGGATATATTGGAACTTTTTTTAAATTTGATAAAAATATAAAATCGTGTTCGAACTCTATGAAACTTTCTACAAAAAGCTTGTGGCACTAAATTAAGAAAAATACCTGTAAGGGAAGATCAAAAGTTGATCGGGACCGAACAAAGGTTGAGATAAAATAAACTGCAACAAAGTCAAATGCCATAATTTTTAATTTTTATACCCTACAACACTATGTGTTTCTTCCCACAGAAGAAAGTATATATGGATCTTCCTATCTCGCAGAGCTGAGTCGATCTAGCATGTAAGTCCGTCCGTCCGTCTATCCATGTTAATCTGCAATCACTCTACAGGTCGCAATTATGGCCCAATCTTCACGAAATTTAGAATGGAGGTGGGGCTAGGGCCAGAGTAGAACCTTATTGGAGATGATCGCATAATACTAAGAGGTTGAAATGGACGAAAAACTGAAAAACTTCCTGATTTTGCAGTTGCTCTACAAGTCGCAATTATAGACCAGGTATAGACCGGAGGTTAGCATGACGCTAGAGCTTAGGGCTGGGCAAATGCCTTCCAATTTTGATGGCCATCGGGTAATATTTAGTGGGTGTGTCAAATAAAAGTCAAATTTTCCATTAAACCGCAAATATTTTTAATGCCGGCGAAGTCACAAATAGACGAACAGGTCAATTCTGACCGTTACGTAGATGCCGATAGTACAAATATCGGATATATATAGCGAAATATATACAATGTATATATACAAAGGAAGGGGATGTTAGCTAGAATGCTTATATCTCCAGAATGGCTGGAGCGATTTTGACAAATTTTGTCAATTCAGAATGCCCTCTTGGCATAAAAGTATGAAATCTAAAAAAATCGCATAAAAAGATGCCAATAATGATGTTAATATTGATTGTGTAATATTTTGTGACATTTTTTTATTTTTTCATGTTTTTCATTGCATGCGATTTTTGACTTTTATTTGACTTATAATATTGAAGTGTACATTTCTTAATATGTTTTCACTTTATAACACAGGTGGGTTTATTATATACAGATTGAAATTATCATCCGAACTTCACGAAAATTTTCAGAAGGGTAGGGATAGGCTCAGAAGGGCTAGGCCTATTGTTTTCAAAGATGTCTGCAATATATTTGGGGTTGAAATGGACCAACAACTAAAAATATTCCTGATTCTGCAGCCGTTATAAAGGTCACAAAGGTCACGAAATCTGGCATGAAGTTTGAGTTTAGGAAAGCAAGTAGAATGGACCCTTACTTTTGTGTGAAAGAATACCAACATTATTTACAGGCGATATCCGAAATACACAAAATGCGAACTTCTAGCTTTTTATGCTGAATTCTTTGACGAATATAGCCAAATATCGTAGACAAGCAAATCATACAGATGAGTTTAAATTTGGAGATACAGAGGGGCCTCTTGCTTTTGGAGATGATCGCAAAATATTTAGCGGTTCAATTGAACCAAAAACAGAAAAAAGTCCTGATCCCACAATTGAAGCCAATCGACACGCCTGAGAAGAGACAGGGAAGAATTCTAGCATTTTGGATTACCATTGGATTATATTTAGCTGTAAAATGGATCACAACAACTAACAGCACGCTGGAGTGCGTAAATATTGGGTAAATGTGTCTGGTCAAAATGTTAAGGGTAATATCTGGGCAGTGTTCCGTGACATAATTTCAAAAGCGAAATCTTCCAACATTGATTTGGACAAAAAGTGGCTTCTAACATATTGTAGTGTTGTAGGGTATCACATGGTCGGCCCCGCACGACTATAGCCTTTGCTTATTTGCTTTTTTTTAAATTTTATTGAATGAAAGCAAAATATATCGGAAATAGCATAAAATTTTAGAATAAGTTTAGATTTGTTCGAATTGGTCACCTTTGGCACGAATTATGAAACCGTCACACGCTGCCCGAATGTTGCTCTGCGGAATTTTGGCTCATTCCCGGCGAAGCGCATGCTTAAGGTGAACGGCACTTTGGTATTTTTTAGTGCCAACCTTGCTTTCCAAAATACCCCAGACACAATAATCCAACAGATTGGTATCTGGATATTTTGGTGATCATTGTGCGCTGGAAATGAAGCGAGGAACCTCATTTTGTAACCATTCTTGGGTGGCGCGTGCTGAGTACGATGGTGGTGAGTCCTGTTGGAAGGTCCAAGGCCTGGGACCAAAATATTTTGGCGATAATATTCGGCATTTATTCTGATAC